TTCCCATCCTGAAGTAGGCCGTTATCGGTCCTTCCTTCTCTAGTTTTGCCCCTGTGAGTGGATCCACAGCCAAGTAAAGTTGGACTGTGGTCCCGTCCACAATTCTGTTGAGGGCTCCCCAGCTTGTGGCTTTTAGCCCTTTGTTTAGTTTTTCCAGCCACAGTAGGATTTCTTCTGTTTTGAGCTGGTTGCTGTTTGGGAAGAAAGCCAATGCCACCTTGGTCTTCGGAATATCTCCTTCGGGAATCACACGGAGAGAGTCACCTAGCTGTCCTTCTTTGGACTTGATCCACCTTGCGGTGTTCTCGTCCTTACAGACCAGTACTAGGTACCCTTGCCTCCTGTGTTGGATATTAAAGCTCCAGATTAGCTGCAGGATTTTGTCCTGGACAGCTTCCATCTCTTCATTTGTGAGAATTACTTCAGGGAAGTTTGTGTGTATTACGCCAATTCTGACCCCCTCTGCTGCCTGTTTAAAGGAGAGCTTGGAAGGTTGATGTTGAACCCTCTGATGCGGGGTTCCAGCCTCTGCCAACACCTCTCCTCCTCTTGCCTTCTTGTTCGGGTTTGGGACCTCCGGCGTAGTATTTTTTTATCTAGGCCTTTTGCTTGTCCCTTGGTTCTTGCCCTCGTTTTGAGGTCTAATCTCCTGCTAATCTGCAGGCTCAGTTCTGCTGCCTCTTCTATGGAGTGGCCCTGTTTCCTGTACCATATGTATCTTCTTTGGCGGGCTCCTCCCATTTTTGGAATTCTGTCCCGCAGCTTGAGTTTCTTGGCTTTCTCGGTGATTTCTTTGTCATCACCGCTGGTTTCATCCAGGAGTTGTTCTTCCTCGGAGTTTGTGACCATTAGCTCACCCTGAGTTCCATCGATCTCTTGGTTGAGCTCTGATCTTACAGTAGTTTGGGGAGCTTCCTCTACTGGAGGTGCCATAAGGACCTCTGCTGTTTGAGGAGTTGCTACCCCTGCGTTTTGAGGCACTAATGCCTGTGTTTGTTGAGTCATTTCTGCCTCTGAATTGATTGTTTTTTTGGCTTCCGCCGTTTTTGTCTCCATGTTTGTCCCACGAGTACCGGGTTTCTGCAGTCCACCTCTCCAGTGACCCGATTAGAGAGGTAAGGGGTACATACTGCTGGGTTTCCCCTGGTGCCCAGCAGGCTCCGTTTGAGACACTCTTGATTTAGGCCCCCAGTGCCACGAGACTCTCAGCAAGGGTCGCATTCCACCTTAGCCCAGGGCCCGCAGTGCTCAGGCATAGCTCCTGCTATACCCGAACGTCTGGGTGAGCGTCCTGTTCTCAGAGAAGCAAGCCCTAGGCCAGTTACGAACACCCAGTTTTGGTGATGCTGCTGCCCCACACCAGGGAGTCTTTCGGGACTCCAGCCTAGATCCGCCGAGATCAGCGTGACAGGGGCCACGACATGAACGGTGCAGTCATCGGACTACACAGGCCTGCACTTCATTTTTTGTGCCGACCTTCTCGGACGGTCTTGAGCACCATTATAATGCCCCTGGGAGTGAAATAGTTCCTCAGTTGCAGATGTCAATGCAGCCTTGGCTGTCCGAGGAACTACCACACTCCCTTAACCCCCATTGTGTGTTTATAATAAACAAACTTATAGCATTTCAAAATCCATGCGTTCTTTTTGCGCCACCCAGTACTTATAGATTACAACAGCCTTGATTGGTAACAAATTAACTGTAAACTTTACGGGGTACTTTCGTATTATACGGAGGCCACCCTTATACAGCACGCTGCAGCTGTTATGTTAGGTTGGGTTATCAACTTATCATAAATGTTTTATTACTCATCTGGTATCGTTCGGTTCATAACAAAACGAGGAAAGTCCTACAAACGTATTTATAAAAACCCAACCTAAAATAACCGCCGCAGCGCGCTGTAAAATAAGTGGCCTACGATAATACGAAAGTACCCTTTAGAGGATTGTTTTACTTCAGGCTGGGTAAAAAAAGTTGGCCCTTGGGTCTTAAACCAAATCGAGTTGCTTTGGAGGGATTTTTTTTATATGTGTAGGTAAGTCCCAAAATCTTTGGGGAAAAAGATTTTCGATCATCAGGATCCCATCCACATTTAAATTGGGATTTGTTAGTTGATTTGTCATCAATAATTTTACAGCGCCGCGAGTGACGACGTTGTTTTCGCAATCATGGGAGACTTCGCCAGTATGGTGACTGACAATGATTATACCTCCATGGTTGCCACAGAAAATCACGATAGTTCCACGAACCCAGTAAGCGATGACGAGGTCCATGTAATCGCAGGAGAAGTATAAGATGGCACCGCAAACTGGGGACATAATGACGATCGCACCGTGACTGCAAGACATGTCGGTGATGGTGTCATGAACGCAGGACATGTCGATGAAAAAGGAGTGAAAATACGTTGACGATGGCGCCGTGACCGTGAGTCATGGTCACGATGGTGACCGCGGGACAAGTTCACGATGGCCCCGCAAAGCAGGACATGTTGACAATGGCACAGTGACTGTGGGACAAGTTCACGATGGTGCTGCGAAACGTGGACATGTCAACGATTGCGCAGTGACCGGGAGTCATGTCGACTCAGAAATACTTTTTTTTAGCATTTTTAATTTCCTATCAAACGATACCAAGATCAAAAAGATCGAACAAAAGATAACTGAAATATAAAGTTTTTTGTGTAAAAATAAGGCAAAGTTAGTCGGGGAACCCTTAATTTTTGCCTTATTTTTACACAAAAAACGTTATATTTCAGTTATCTTTTGTCCGATCTTTTTGATCTTGGTATCGTTTGATAGGAAATTAAAAATGCTAAAAAAAGTATTCTTGACATTTTTTCATAGAATTAGCCGTTTTTGAGTTATTTAAGTTAGAAAAATTCAAACGGCCGCCATTTTGAAATTTACAATCGGAACAACTTTATTATTTTTTCTATTATAGGTCTTGTGTATGCTAACATGTATACCAAATTTCATAATCGTCGAATAAAAAACTTTACAGATAAAAATATTTTTGTATAAAAAACAAAATGGCGGATATCTGGGTTAATATGCATTTTCGGACATACCTTCCCATAAACTTTTTTCTTCCTTTTAGTATGGGGATTCATTTCCCAAAGTCCTGAAACGTTTTTTATGGACACCCTGTATATATCCTACTATATATATATATATATATATATATATATATAATATTATAAATGAGAAAGTTTGGATGTATGGATGTATGGATGGATGTATGGATGTATGTTTGTGGCAAGTGAACGCGAAAAATACTGGTCGGATTGTGCTGAAATTTGGCATGATGATAGCTCACATTCCCGATAGGGATGGACGAGATTGGATTTTGATTGTGCTGAAATTTGGCATGATGATAGCTCACATTCCCGATAGGGATGGACGAGATTGGATTTTTAGTTCGAGACGAGACGAGACGAGATTTTTTATTTCTCATAAAATTTCGAGACGAGATCGAGACGGGATTTCCCTTCTCATACACAACGGGAAATGCACGTTCAAAATTTTTACCTGATTTTGTAACATTGTTAGATGACTAATAATTGTTTAAATACAAAAATAATGATAATAGGCAAGAATATTTACAATCTTTTATTAAAAAACATCAGCATAACATTTTTTTATTAATCACGCCTAACTTATTAAAAATGCCTACGATTAGGAAACATAGTGATATCAGTTAGGATAGAGTTCAACTTATCCTAAAATAAAATAAATCATAAAATAAAAGCAATATTAATTTTTATAAAATAGCTACTTGTTTTGACTTTTTATAGTAATAAAACATTTCTCACACTGCTTACACTTTACAAAACTTCTCAAATGTTATTAAAGTAATATTATTAAAATAATTAAAGTAATATTTACATTTAAAGAATTAATTAAATAAGAACGCCTTCACAAAGGAAACGCAACTACAACACGCTCCTGTATTGCGGGTATTGCATTGACTTTCTGAAGGCGTTTTTAATTTTTTTTTTTTTTTTTTTTTTTTTATTCCCGTCTCGGTAAAAATCTCGGCCAAAAAGAAATCTCGTCTCGTGTAACGAGATTTAAAATTTCCCGAAAATTTCCCGAAATTTCGAGGCTTGACCATCCCTAATTCCCGATTAACATATAGGCATATTCTTATTTCAAAAATCCTTTCGGGCTCCGCCCCAGTGGCTCTGGAGTTTCCCATGTTAACCTTATGAGAAATGGAATTATTGAATCTTAACAGCTAAACAAGTTGGTTCTGTTCTATGATGTTCAATAGCATTAAAGTTACAAGGATTACCAACAGGGTGCAGCACTATTATTTCTTTTACATTTATGACAACAGCTAATTTGCAACCAAAAGGTGAGTGAGCGTAGCGAACGAACTTCAACCTGGAGGCGAGTTAGCGTAGCGAACAAGCTAACCTGAAGGCAAGTGAGCGCAGCGAACGAGCTCCAACCTAAAGGTGAGTGAGCGTAGCGAACAAACTTCAACCAGGACGTGATTGAGCCATGCGAACGAGATAATCTTGAAAATTAAGAAGTTAAACGGGGCAAAGCCCGCGGGTTACAGCTAGTATATATATATGTGTAAGTTAGCATGATAACTCAAGCAAAAATTATTCTTATGGAGAATATCGTAAACTGTTTTTATTTGCTTGTTTATGGATATATTTTGATAAAACTTGGTAAATTTATTTCTTTTATACTAAGCTATTAATATTATACTTATAACACACTTAATTAGCCTCCCTGTAGCAGCAAACCTAGTTACTTGTTATACCTAATTTTATTTAAATAGAATTAATTGAAAATCAAATCAGGCAAATGGAAATTTGCTTAGTCTGCAGGTTTGCTGCGGCTGGGGTGTTTTCTATTTTGTTCTACTCTACTACAATGGAAAAGAATAAGCTAGGCGAGACAACAGTATTGATTGAAATTGATAACACCATTAAAAAAGTTTTGTTTAGTCTCATTGTTGACTATGTTACATTGTTTTGTTTACAGAAAGAGTTGAAACGTGTCCGAGACCAAGTGAACCACCTCTTAGATCTCATTGACATACGAGACCCTGAGGTGTCCAGTTCAACTGCTGACCACTACAGTTAGTGTCCTGCTTACTTACTTGGGTTTATTCCATAATCAATACAGTACAGTACTGTAATTGTTAGTGGGGACCTCAAAAAAGTGTGTTCCTCTTTGAAAGGTTACTAACGAACAATATTTCATGTAAAATTAATAGCCCATAATATATTTTTTCATTGATCTATTTTGTTCTTATATCCATATGTAAGTGATACTGTCAAATTTGTCGTCATTGATAAAGGTCATTGACTTAATAAAAATATAAGGATATGGCACATAAAAATGAAGCTCAGAATGAGTAGATTTGCCGGAAATTATTGGTTTAATCAAATTCCCAAAGGGCTCTGCCCTACCACACACAACTAGGGTAAAATGTATTTTTTTTAATGAGATAAAAAGGTAAAAAATGTTAAAAAAAATTGAATGACAAATAACGGAAATATCAAAAAAATATGTTGTAAAATGAGTTAGAATAGGGCTAAGCTAGTCAGGTTTGCCTCATTTTACAATTAATAATTGTGATATTTCCATTATTTTTTTTTTAGATTTTTAACTTGGTGTCGTTTGATAGGGAATTTTAAATGCTAAATAAAAGTTTACTTGAAATTTGTGGTAAGTGCACCAAAAGACAGTTTAAAACCAGCTGGACAGTGGATTGTTTGTTTTGAATAGTATAATTTGTTTTTTTGTTTATTGAGCGGAGCGAGCGAAGCTCTTATACATCGACTCTTATGCATTTCGTAATACGCAAACTCCTCCTAGACGGCTGAATCAATCGTTTTCAAATTTTGCCTGGTGATAAAGACCATATCGGTGAGTGCCAACATCTATATGGCGTTAAAAAAGTCTCTCAGGAATCCGCCCCACCGGGTCTCAAAGTTTCAATGTAATCCTTATGGAAGCAGTATTTGACACATAAACAAAGACATATGATCAGCTGTTGACTTTTGAATGCAGTAAATAAAGAAATTGCTAATAGCATAATTCCACAGATATTAGAACAGAAACGGTATAGATTATAAATGTAATCAAATGACGACACTAGCTTGAGGTGCGTGACGTAGGAAGTGGTGAAGGAAGTAGTAACGGCTAGCAGTCTGAAGAATGTAAACTGTTTATGACGATTAGATTAAGGTATCTGCATTCCTAAAATTCTATGGGAAGGGATGAAAACAGGTCCATGACGTAGGAAGTGGTGAAGGAAGTAGTCAAGGCGAGCTGTCCGGAGTGTGGGAACTGTTTATGACGATTAGATTGAGCCATCTGCAATCCTAAAATGCTATGGGAAGGGATGAAAACAGGTCCACGACGTAGGAAGTGGTGAAGGAAGTAGTAAGGCGAGATGTTCGGAGTGTGGGAACTGTTTATGACGATTAGATTGAGCCATCTGCAATCCTAAAATGCTATGGGAAGGGATGAAAACAGGTCCACGACGTAGGAAGTGGTGAAGGAAGTAGTAAGGCGAGATGTTCGGAGTGTGGGAACTGTTTATGACGATTAGATTGAGGCATCTGCAATCCTAAAATGCTATGGGAAGGGATGAAAACAGGTCCACGACGTAGGAAGTGGTGAAGGAAGTAGTAAGGCGAGATGTTCGGAGTGTGGGAACTGTTTATGACGATTAGATTGAGGCATCTGCAATCCTAAAATGCTATGGGAAGGGATGAAAACAGGTCCACGACGTAGGAAGTGGTGAAGGAAGTAGTCAAGGCAAGCTGTCCGGAGTGTGGGAACTTTTTATGACGATTAGATTGAGGCATCTGCAATATTAAAATGCTATGGGAAGGGATGAAAACAGGTCCACGACGTAGGAAGTGGTGAAGGAAGTAGCCAAGGCGAGCTGTCCGGAGTGTGGGAACTGTTTATGACGATTAGATTGATGCATCTGCAATCCTAAAATGCTATTGGAAGGGATAGGGAATTAGGTCCGACAGGTAGGAAGTGGTGAAGGAAGTAGTCGAAGCGAGCTGTCCGGAGTGTGGGAACTGTTTATGACGATTAGATTGAGCCATCTGCAATCCTAAAATGCTATGGGAAGGGATGAAAACAGGTCCACGACGTAGGAAGTGGTGAAGGAAGTAGTAAGGCGAGATGTTCGGAGTGTGGGAACTGTTTATGACGATTAGATTGAGCCATCTGCAATCCTAAAATGCTATGGGAAGGGATGAAAACAGGTCCACGACGTAGGAAGTGGTGAAGGAAGTAGTAAGGCGAGATGTTCGGAGTGTGGGAACTGTTTTTGACGATTAGATTGAGGCATCTGCAATCCTAAAATGCTATGGGAAGGGATGAAAACAGGTCCACGACGTAGGAAGTGGTGAAGGAAGTAGTAAGGCGAGATGTTCGGAGTGTGGGAACTGTTTATGACGATTAGATTGAGGCATCTGCAATCCTAAAATGCTATGGGAAGGGATGAAAACAGGTCCACGACGTAGGAAGTGGTGAAGGAAGTAGTCAAGGCAAGCTGTCCGGAGTGTGGGAACTTTTTATGACGATTAGATTGAGGCATCTGCAATATTAAAATGCTATGGGAAGGGATGAAAACAGGTCCACGACGTAGGAAGTGGTGAAGGAAGTAGCCAAGGCGAGCTGTCCGGAGTGTGGGAACTGTTTATGACGATTAGATTGATGCATCTGCAATCCTAAAATGCTATTGGAAGGGATAGGGAATTAGGTCCGACAGGTAGGAAGTGGTGAAGGAAGTAGTCGAAGCGAGCTGTCCGGAGTGTGGGAACTGTTTATGACGATTAGATTAAGTTATCTACAATTTTAAATTGCCGTGGGAAGAGAGGGAACAGGTCCGTGATGTAGGAAGAGGTGAAGGAAGTAGTAAGGTCAGCAGTGCGGAGTGTGGGAACTGGAAACCGTTTGTAGCAGTTAGATGAATGTATCTGCAAAGCTGAAATGCCATGAGAAGGGATGGAAGCATGCCCATGACAGGAAATGGTGAAAGAAGAAGTCAAGGCTAGCAGTGCGGAGTGTGGGGAATGTTTGTGGCAATTAGATTAATGTATCTAAAATACTAAAACGATATGGAAAGTGATGAAAACAGGTCCACGACGTAGGAAGTGGCTTAGGAAATAGTAAAGTATGAGCATAGTGTGAGAATCGTCTGTGGCAGTTAGATTAATGTACTGTATCTTCAATCCTAAAATATTATGAGAAGGGAAGGAAACAGGCCCCACGACGGTGGATGTGGTGAAGGAAGTATTAAAGGCTGGCAGTGCAGAGTGGGGGAACCGTTTGGGCAGTTAGATAAATGTATCTGTAATCTTAAATGCTATGAGAAGGGAAGGAAACAGGTCTATGACGTAGGAAATAGTGAAGCAATTAGTAAGGCTAGCAGTGCAGAGTGTGGGAACTGTCTTTGGTAATTACATTAATGTATCTGCAATCCTAAAATGCTATGGGAAGAGAGGGAAACAGGTCCACGACGTAGGGGGTGGTGAAGGAAGTAGTAAAGGTGAGCAGTGTTGAGTGTGGGAATGGATTAATGTATCTGCAATACTAAAATGCTATGCAAAGAGACTGTAGACTGTGTAGGTTAAAATGATTAGGAAGCACGAATCGATACATATTTTAGATACATGCAATCGTTTACAATCGAAATTTACAACTGAGTTGACAACAACTGATTTTTACTCCATAGAGGCTAAAAACAATTTTTACTCCCTAGAGAGTAAAAATGCTACTTTAGACCCGCAACGCATGCATTAAAAACGACTGTATTTACTGCAGTATGACGAAAACAATATAATATGAACCATTGATGACTCCGCTCAATTTTGTGGATGCCTCTGCGAACGCCACCTAGTTCTATTGTTTCTATAGTTACCTCCAAGGAGTTCTTTCCTGACTTCTATGCTTTACACGTTTATGTTTTTTTTTATTTTCTGTCAATTTTTTTAATCATTTTATCCTTAAAGTAACAAACATAGTTAAAGAAGAACATGGTGACCCCAACGTGAAAATTTCCTAACAAAACAATGTCTACTAACTACTCAGGAAGGTAACTCCCTAGATCGAATGAAGTTATGTAGGCTAGTGTAATTCTCAGTTCATCAAGGTTCTACTGAATTATGTTTGGCAGTGAATAAGTGTAGAATGAAATTTATAAATTCAGGGATACACACCTTTTACAGAGTTATAAAGCCTAATTGCCCTAATTAACTTGCCGCCACATCAAATCGTGAGCTAGAGCCCAGCATTAGTGATGTTTTCTAAACTTGGCAAACCCGCAGAATGCCACTTAAGGCCAATAATCCGTTCCAAAAACGTAAGGAAATACAATGTGAAAATAAACTTGAGATAGAACTCCTTGTCTAGTGAGAACCAGGAAACAACATAAAACATAACCTCAAGTAAACAAGCCCAAAGACAATCAGTCCTACTGAGCTAGTGTTGTGTGAAGATTTCGGCTGCTAGTGTACTTAATTCAAGCAACCAACTTTTGAAAATAGATGTTGTGAATTGTGATTTTCAAGAGAGAAAAAACTGTGGACGTGGCTAATTTGAAATTCTATAATTCAAAATCGTCATTTAAGTTTATTTACACAGCTTTACAGTGTTTTATAGGTTAAAAATACATATCTAGCTTATTATTAACATTATATTATTAACATATATTTTATATTATTAACATTATTGTTATTATTATCTAGCGCCGAACTATCCGAATCCAAACCTCCCAATATCCGATCCGATTGGAACCGAACCTCAACTATCCGATCCGAAATGAAATTCCACTATCCGCACACCTCTAGTTACCATATTCCTCACATTCCTAGGACTTTTCTCTAAATTTGCATGGTAAACAAATTTTCTCTACCATAGATCTTAGAGGTGTGGGAGCCTGACATTTTCAATCGAGCCGAGCCCCAGCCGAGCTCTTTTCTATTATAAATAAACATAATTACAAATAATAAGTTAGTCAGGCCAAGTCAAAAACCTTTTTTAAAATGTAATTTAATGTTAAGATGTAGAGTAAGTTTAAATATAATTATATTAGGCCTAGTCAATTTCACCTTATTTTATTTTATTTAGAAGGCCTTTTTTTCAATAAAACGGTATTTGAGTAAAAAAATCTAGTAGGCTATTGAGTCGATGATAAGAATGATTTCAATTCAATAAAGAAACAGAGTTTGTAAAAAGAAATATATTAATAAAACAGATACTTAATATACATGTAACGTATCATAAGTTAAAAACATCAATATGCAATAAGGTATATTTTATTTTAAAATAACCACTTGGAAGGACACGTTGCAGAAAGTCAACAGTGCCAGAAGGTCAAATAATTTATTCTTGTTGATTTAAATACCTTTTTGTGGTTAGCTAGCATTTTGTTTCATAATTAAATTAATGAAGGAGACATGTGGTAAAAGAAGAAAGAGAAGGAAAAAGATTTGGTTTGATGAAGAATGTGAAGAAAAAGTGAAGTATAGACAACATTTAAAATTGAAATGGCTGCAAAATCAGCAAGAAGAAATCAATCAAGAATATAGACGAACTCAAAGAGATACAAATAAACTATTTGAGAAGAAAGAAAAGACAAATAAATAGCATTCTAGCTGTTCCGTATTCAAGCATCTACGCAACCAGGTGAATCCAGACTTCATTCATATTTTGTTCCGACCCTTGCCCTGTCACGTGATGTCTGGCAATTTCCCCCATTCCCCATGTACTCTTCAACCCGGCATCATGTTCTCGCCATTTTCCCTAGTTTTTTATTATAATATTCCCCTACTCTATTTGTGGCATATAAATTGAACTTATATATTATCGTATGTTTATCTTATGTATTTATTTGTGACACACCTAACAAAAAAGTGAACTGAATAGTTAAAAACTGTATTCAAACTGTTCTTGGTGCAACTACCGGTCGCGTACGCGAAAGCTGGCCAGCAAACATCAAGTGCGTCAACGTCAACGGTCTACTAGACATCACTTCAGTAAAAAGGAAGGTACCAAATCACATTTCTTCCTATTTAAAAGTTTATTATTTTGTGCTCACAGTGTGTCTCTAAAACTGATCTTAACATAATATATCTCACATCCCTCATTTTTTATACAGTCCACCATATCGAAGTTTACCCCCCACTAGCAAAAGCAGAAGCAGAACATGTACACGAACCAAGATTTTTCTATAATACAGTAAAACTTTTTAAGGATGGTTTCAAACCAAGCTCCTTTGGAGTTAAACATAATGGAAAAATATTTGTAGAAAAACAAAAAGTCCTAGATATTTGGAAAGATTATTTTGATAAACTATTAAATGTAGAAGATGAGATAGTACACAGCAACGAAGTAAACAGCAGGCCTGCCTTCATGCATGTGCAACCAGAAATAAAAGAACCCAGCCTTGAAGAAGTAGAAAAAGCAATAAACGAGCTGAAGAACAATAAAGCGCCTGGAACGGATGGTATAAATGCAGAAATAATTAAGACAGGAGGAAAAGATCTGGCTATCCACATACATGAACTAATATTACATATATGGAAGCATGAAGTTTTACCCAAGGACTGGGAAGAAGCAGTAATAGTACCATTGCACAAAAAAGGAGATAAGCAGGAGCCAGCCAATTATCGTGGAATATCACTTCTAAATACGACGTACAAAATCTTTTCCAAAATAGTTCTTGCAAGACTAGAAATATATATCGATGAGATTATCGAAGACCACCAAGCAGGATTTGTAAAAGGTAGATCTACTACAGACCAAACATTCGTCCTCAAACAAACTGTCTCAAAATATTGGGAATATAACAAAAATGTCTTCTGCCTTTTCATTGATTTTAGTAAAGCCTACGATAGTCTAAGGAGAGCAAAAATTTGGGAAAAGATGGAAAGTTTTGGTATTCCAACAGAGTTAATAAATTTAGCTGAGCTAAGTGTAAAAAATAGTAAATGTAAAGTAAAAGTTGAAAACGAACTTTCCAAAACTTTTGAGGTGAAAACTGGCGTAAGACAGGGTGATGGTCTATCCCCCATTCTTTTTAACATTGCCTTGGAAGGAGCACTAAAAGAGATAAGGAAAACTGATTTGGGAGTGAAATTAGGAAGGAATATATCAGTGCTCGCTTTTGCAGATGATGTGGTATTGATGGCAGAAAGCAAAGAAGACCTTAAAGACATGCCGAAATACTAATTAAGGAAACCAAAACAGTAGGACTTAAAATCAATGCAGAAAAGACAAAATTCATGCACTTCGGACGAAATCAAGACCATTCTAGAAGCCCTATTGAAGGTTACAATTTTGGAAAAATAGACAATTTTAAATACCTTGGCACAATAATAAGCACAAATAACACCGAACATTCCGAAATTTAAAGCCGAATAAATGCAGCCAATAGAAGTATGTTTGCCTTGAATAAACTATTATCATCAAAGCTGTTTTCTGTCAACACAAAACTAAAAATTTATAAAACTGTGATTCGTCCAATTCTGCTTTATGGTTCTGAAACATGGACTCTGGACAAAAGTACTGAAAAAAAACTTGTCACCTTTGAAAATAAAGTACTAAGAAAGGTTTTTGGACCAACAAGAGAAAATGGTGAATGGAGGATCAAACATAACAGAGAAATTAGAGACCTGTATAAAGCACCAGATGCGGTGGCGGAAGCAAAAAGTCGACGAATAAGATGAACTGGGAATTTCAACTGGGACGGGTGGCGTCGTCCTGTAATCCAGCTACTAGGAGGTCACGAATTGTGGATATTTATAGGGATGCACTGTGGATGCGATGCTCCCTGGTGTGGATTAACGTCCGCACTAGTGAGTACTACGACTATCCGCAGTACTATCCTGATAATTAGACCAATTCGTAAATTACAAGGAAATATGTGGTTCGGATTCCACTATAAACTGTAGGTCCCTTAGTTGCCATTAGCTGTATGGGCTATTAATTAACAGCTGTGTCTAAGGAACATGTCGGCCTTAGTCACTAACAAGACTACAAGATCGCGCTACTCATCCTACACTCATCCTTCACTCATATTTGGGTTAAAATACGCACATAGTGGCGTCCCCATCTTAACTAATTGATAAAAATTGATAATGGCTCGGGCATGTGTTAAGGAGAGAAGATGATGCATTGATAAAGAAAGTTTGGAAAGAGAACCCTTTTGGAAGAAGACCTCCTTGGCGTCCCAAAATGAGGTGGAAAGATGAAGTGACCAAGGATATGAGGAAGATAAGAATCATGGAGGAAGATGCTGAAGATCGGAAGAAGTGGAGGCATTCAGTTGGCGAGGCCAAATACCACCTTGGGTATCGATGGGCATGGGAGTAAGAGTAAGAGTAAGAGTAAGTAATTAAATTAATGTTTCACTGTTAATCACACCAAAAATGATTTTTTTTTCAACAGTTTTTGTTACTTGACCGTGTATTTTTACCCATTATTTAATATTTTGTTTGTATAGCAGTGCAAATTTGTATTAATTATCATTATTGCTATCTGCAAGAGTATTTTAATCAATATTTTTAAAACAAACCTTTTTTTCATGGGCAAAACATCGGTACATTCAAAAATCAAGAAGGAAATAAAAATCCTGTCTCGTCCTGAACTTAACTAAAAGTACAATCTTGTCCATCCCTACTTTAACTTATAAACAAACTTGAAAATTGAATTCTTAGTGATTATTGCCTCCACTGCCCTCTCTTACTCTACTCGCAGTATGATAAAAGAAATTTAAATAAAAGTGCAAAAATACACCATCTTTTGTTTTGTACAGAATATAACTAACTGTAATGTTGAGGCCCACTAGTAAGACTAACTATTAAATATAATTTTGTTCTCAGAAAGAGGTCATTCTATTGATGATTATGATCGTGATCGTGAGAGGGGGCGGTCCAAGAGGCATAGGTGGACAGGTGGTCGTCCGCCTTGGCAGCGAGGTCAGTTACTTGTTTTTCATGCATTTCATCTAAAGCTTACTTAATACTTCTCCAATCTATGTTAGTTTTTTTTTTTTTATATATATATATATATATATAAATATACATTGTACACAAGGTTTTTACTAACTTAAAGCCAAATTTTTATAAATATTATCTTAAAAAGTTTTAAATTGTTATCTTTACCAACTTTTAAAACAAATTCTCTGCTGAAAGTTACTATCATCGTAGCTGTTGTTGGAGAATAAATATTGTGTGTGTTGAATGAGTAAACACAATTCACAACTAATTAAATTAATAAGTAAGAGTTTGTTCTAACAAAATACAATCAACATAAAGTAACAATTAAAAATAAACAGCCCATTAACAACGTTCAGCTGAGAATAGGTTATACGTGGTCTAACATTATCTTTTCTATACTGTGTTCTATTTATAAGTCAAATATATTAACTGTTGGTTTTGGTTATGTTAGAAAAGCAAAAATAATACAGCTTCTAAAAATTTGTTGCAAGCTATAGTAGTAGAAAAGAAACCTTTTCATCTTATCCCTGAGAAATATTAGAATATCCAAACTGTGAGCAATTGATTCCTTAGAATATCCAACCTCTGAGCTACAGATTCCTCGGAATATCAAACGTCTGAGCAACTGATTCCTTTTGACTATCCAACCTCTGATCAACTGATTCCTCAAATGATGTAGTGCCATCTCGTCCAAGTGCTATCTCGTCCAGTGTGTATTACCAGTTGATTAAACACTACATGGTGCCATCTCATTCATGTGAAAAATTTTCTTGGGGTGAGGATTAAGGAACGCTAAGAAGTTAGTATTCAGCCTGAAGTTCCACGGGAATTCAAGAGCTAGGTGTTGTACTTCTGCAGTTCAGAAGTAGAAAGTTCTTCCTTAAAAATCGCAAAAAGCCACTTATTTAGTTGTGAAGATAAGAAAAATTACATTTTATTGAACAATCACATTACAAGGGCTACAGAACAGTTACAGCTTTCAGGAGACATTAAAAAATTTTTTAGAAACGGCTCTTGCGCTATCAAAATGGATTGAAGTGTGGAAACAAGGAACTGAAATCAATGATTTCCCTTTTGTACATATGATTACAACGCAATAGCGGCATATAGCGTACCTTTGACTATTGATACAACTAGACATTATATCCCCATGTTAAAAGTCGTTACCAGCTTTTTGATTGAAATGGTCGTAGTTGGTGTGAGCCACAGACAGATTGTGCTGATGTAAATTACTGATTTCTATCGAATACGCATTATTACCAAGCCAAACTGATCAAACGATTTAATGTGAGGGGAGACGGTCAGAGTGTCTCCGGCTCAAAACTTACCTAAAAATACTTTACCTTTTTTTGTAAGCAAAAAGAAAAGACTCAGGGTCCCCTTACTAATGAGGGGTGACCAAGGATCCTCTGACTGCTGTTGTCTGGAGAGGTTTAAGATGGAGTTTGACAAGGGACGGCCTAGCCTATTTCTCTCTTAAATGGTTCATTTACTAAATTTAGTCTCAACTTTACTGCATTAGTTGTTTTAATCTAATGCTAGGGTTTGTAAAAAAGTTTTAGGTGCCTTTGGATGCCCGTAGCTGTATATTAAACACAGTCACAATTAATGATGTGTCAATAAAAAAATGTTATCAATTCTCGATACCGATAGCTGAAAACTCGATTCTTGATAAACTGGTACTACTATTTATAGCTTTATAACACTTTCTGAATAGATTGGTTGCACTACACCAACCCTTGTCTTTATGTCGTTTCATAAAGTATTTTTGAGATTATGCAGCAATTAAAAAAGCTAACTAGAAAATTTAAGTTTAAACCCTTCTAAACACATTAAATAACTCCCATATTAAAGATAAATCAAGATCTAAAAAAATGTTTATAACTAGAGGTATGCCAGCCTGATATTTTCAGTCTAGCCAAACTCAAGGTTCTCCCTTGATCCCTTTACTCCCGTGGTTGTGGGTGTGGGGACATTATCGTCGTCTTCTGGAATCTCTGCAAAATCCTAAATATCTTCCTCAGTTACAAAAACATCACCATTGTCTCCCGCGATCACGGAAACATTACCAACGTCTCCCGCAGTCACGTCAAAAATCTTGAACATACCCCATCCCCTCCCCCGTGTAGTAGACATCATCGTCTCCTGTGGTCATGGAAACATCGTTTTGTGTGATCGTTGCAAAATCATAAATATCTCCCGCGGTTATTTCGACATTATCATCAAATCCCACTGTCACAGAAATGTCATTATTGTATTGAGCGATCGTGGCAAAATCATGAACCTCCCCGCAGCCATGTAGACTACGTCTTCATTGTCTCCTGTGGTCACGGAAACGTAATCATCGTGAACGCAATGACAGCAAAATGATGAACATCCTCAGCGGCCGTGTCTTCATCATCTCCCTTCTTCATGGAAATATCATATTCGTGTTTCGCGACTGGGACAATATCAAGAACATCCTCCGTGTAGACGACATCATCATCGTCTTGTGCGATCGCGGCAATAGCAGTAATTTTCTGATCACAAGGGTGTGTGGGATTGATGTGACATTCGATTTTCAATACCAAAACCATGTCCAAGAATCAGTGATATTGAAAATCGACACATCCCTAGTCACAACTAAATAGAAATAAATGCGTCTGAATTTTCAAAACTTTGTTTAGTGATATTATACTTTAACAGATAAAAGAAATTGAATGCAAGGCTAAATACACATTACCACCGCAGCAGCGATCCTGCCAAAAAGACAACTTCACATTTTCTTATTTTTTTAGTTTAAACTTATTTATTAAAACATTTTTCCCAAACAAAGTACCACCAATTTAAATAACATAATTTATAATTGTTGCTTAGGTTTTCTGAAACAGCAAGATAAGCATTCTTAACTAAATATACCCTTATGAAAAAGTTTATATATGGCCATATAAAATTTTTTTTATCCGGTTATATTTGGTTTTGGACCAAATATAACCAGATATGATCATATATGGAATCCCCCATGTATGGAAATTTTTATATGATTATATATGGAATCCCCCATATATGGAAAATTTTAAATAAAAAATATATAAATAAATAAAATAATAACAATTCAACATATTTTCACATTAAATGGTATAAACTATGAATTAAAACTATAATAAAATTTTTAAATTCAAAAATTTCAAAACAAAATCCTCATACATACGACTGGGATTTGAACCCGGGACTCCAGCGTGAGAGTCCGCCCCGATAGCCACTACACCACAACCGCTCCATATCAGATGTCTTAACAAAACCCATTAAGAATATGAGAAGCTGTATTTGGTCTCCTAAAACAAGTCTTAGACATTTTATGTCATTTGAAGAATGTTATTATTAATATAGCCAAACTACGTGACATTGATATTTGCGGCTAATTGATATTAAAGGTACAATTAATTAATTATTAATATAATATTCTCCTTATTTAGGCCTACTACACTTACAATTTTAAAATTATACGTCAGTTTTAAGATTATGTTGCGTTATAATAAAATTGTACAATAGATGTATGTACAGGATTTTGTCATCTGGGTTCAAATCTGGATACTTTATTACTTTACTACTAATTACTTTAAGGAGAAATGCCTATATATTATCTGCCCCCCCTACTGTACCACATTTCAACTCAATCAGTTCAGTAGTTTGTGCTTACGAGAGCAACAATAAAATACACAAACTCACAAACTTTAACATCCTACTAATATTATAAATGAGAAAGTTTGGATGTATGGATGTATGGATGTATGGATGTATGTTTGTGACAAGTGAACGCAAAAAATACTGGTCGGATTGGGCTGAAATTTGGCATGATGATAGCTCACATTCCCGATTAACATATAGGCATATTCTTATTTCAAAAATCCTTTCGGGCTCCGCCCCAGTGGCTCTGGAGTTTCCCGTGTTAACCTTATGAGAAATGGAATTATTGAATCTTAACAGCTGTTTCAATTAAACAAGTTGGTTCTGTTCTATGATGTTCAATAGCATTAAAGTTACAAGGATTACCAACAGGGTGCAGCACTATTATTTCTTTTACATTTATGACAACAGCTAATTTGCAACCAAAAGGTGAGTGAGCGTAGCGAACGAACTTCAACCTGGAGGCGAGTTAGCGTAGCGAACGAGCTCCAACCTAAAGGTGAGTGAGCGTAGCGAACGAGCTCCAACCTAAAGGTGAGTGAGCGTAGCGAACGAGCTCCAACCTAAAGGTGAGTGAGCGTAGCGAACAAACTTCAACCAGGACGTGATTGAGCCATGCGAACGAGATAATCTTGAAAATTAAGAAGTTAAACGGGGCAAAGCCCGCGGGTTACAGCTAGTTTATAATATTATAAGAAGTGTTTGGAAGTCCAGTTACATAATCCAAATGTGGCAACAATTCCTTATAATAATTCCAGTTATTGTCAAAAACTCATTTATAGGCTACATGAGCATAAATGGAAAATTATTATTCCATATATGAGTAATTTGATTCCATACCTGGGCATATATGACCATATATATACCAAAATTCCATATATGGAGGACATTTTTGGCCATATATGGGCAATAATTTCATATATAGAAAACATGTAAGGCCATATATGGCCAATAATTCCATATATAGACTACATATATGACCCTATATGGACACCACCATATATGGATACAACCATATCTGGCCATATATGCTTTCATATATGGTCATCAAAAACCATATATGGCTTTATAAAAACATATATGGAATTTTGATATGGCCATATATGGCCAGAAATTACTTTTTTATAGGGGTAAATTTGTTTAATTTTTGGTTAAGGCTTACAATAGTGTACGAAAGTATGCTGTGTAAACTGTGGTCTTTTTTGCTGTTTCTAAAGTTTTGTGTTAATATACTCTAACCTACACATTTGGTTTATTGCCATAACAAGATTAAATGTTAGAAAAAATACTTAAATTTAATGTCTTGTGTTGTAGAATCAGAAAAGGGAAGAGATGGAAAGCAAAGTTCTAAAGAATTTGACCCTCTTCAAAAGGAAGATAAATTAGAGGCTAATGGAGACGAAAAAGGTTGGTAACTATTAATAATTATTAATTAATGTTAATTTAAAATAATATCATTAAAACTGTTTTAAGAATAATTATTGTAGCCTTGACTCAAGGTGTCCAGCCAACCTGGAAACCGGGAACTGTATAAGTAAAATGTCTAAAACATAAATCAAGCTTAAGATTTTAAATTAGGATGGGACGTTTATTTGTACTATTCAAAATCATTGGTCATGTTTAGTGAATTTTTGTCTGCACTAGGTTTGGTTGGTATTGATGTACAGTAGAACCCCTCTATCCCGTCACCTCTGGGACCAGGGGTATGGTCAGAACATAAAAAAATCGGATTATCAGAATACCCCTGCCACAGCAAACCTGCAGACTAAGCGAACTCCCATTTACCTGGCTGGATTTCTACTAAAATATTCCCTTAAAATTGTCAAATTTATTTCCTATTTAAATCACATTAATTTTAATGAGTACTTGGGTTTGCTGTTACAGGGAAGGTATTGAGGTGTGTTTTTTTATTGTCATGTTGATAGCTTAGTATGAAATAAATAAAATGGCCAAATTTGATTAAATAATTTATATAACTAAGCAAACTACAACAGTTTATTTATCTTCCATAAAAGTTACATGGAAATTTTAATTTTTACATTTTTTTTTAATTATCTCCGTAACCGTTAGGCATACAACAACGCTCCAATATGCAAAGTTATTTCTTTTCTTAAGCTCCACAAAATGTTGTGGAAAGAAATTGTGAAATTTTGTGTTTTTAGGGTAAAAATATGAAAAAAAAATTGTTACCCCATAAACCCCCCAATAACCCCTGTTCCCATAGTCCAATCATGCTGGTTTGTGAACTTGTTCGAATAGACGTAGGTTTTAGGTTTACACGTTTTTACCAAATTTCATCAAAATTAGATCATTTTTGCTCGAGTTATCGCGCTACACACACACACACATGAATTGTACTTAAAAAAAGTTCCCCTCTGGTTTAAATTTAAGATACCCCCGCCGCAGCAAACCTGCAGACTAAGCGAATTTCCATTTGACTGATTGGATTTACACTGAAATGTCTACTTAAAAATATAACATTTATTCCCGATTTAAATAGAATTAGTTTAACAAGTACTTAGGTTTGCTGCATCAAGGAGGGTAAAATTGTTTTTTTTTGTAAAATGTTAATAGTTAGTAAGAAATAAAAACATTTTCCAAATTTGATCAAAATATGTTCATAAACAAGCAAACTACAACAGTTTACTTATTCTCCATAAGAATAACATGGGAATTTTAAATTTACAATTTTTTGGAATTTTCTCCGTAACCGTTAGGCGCATAATAACGTTTCAATATACTAAATTATTTGTTTTTTTAAGCTCTACAAAATGGTTTGGAAATAAATTGCAAAATTTTAAGTTTTTTGGGTCAAAAATGGGCAAAACCTATTTTTACCCCATAAAACCCCCCGTAAACACCCGTTACCATGGTCCGATCATGCTGGATCGCGAACTCGTTTGAATAAACGTAGGTTTACACGTTTGTGCCAAATTTCATCAAAATCGGATCATTTTTGCTTGAGTTATCGTGCTGACGGACACACATATATATATATATATATATATAAATATATAAATATATAAATATATATATATATATGAATTTGAACGGATGGTGTTTTTGGCTTCTAGGGACCTCAAAACGAAAAAAAAAAATCGGTCCCGCGTCCAGGTCTTACCATGAGTACTACGGTAATAGCTTATTCCCTGTATGGGAAATTCGCTAATAGTAAAAAAGTGATTCAACTCAGCTAAAGTTTTCTTTTTCTTTTATCTGCAATCATATGTTCTCAAAATTCAACTGGACCTATTTGTAAAAAGTTCATATTTATAATTTGTTTTGTTCAATTTACATTTTTATTAATTTATCTCTGCTTGAAAACGTTTGTATTAAACAAAAATTTGCACTGTTTCATTTTTCATTTTTCATCATTCTATCAAGAAATCCCTCAAGAACAGCATATATATGAATTTGAATGGAGGGTGTTTTTGGCCTCTGGGGACCTCAAAACGAAAAAGTAAATCGGTCCCGGGTCTAGGTCTTACCATGAGGGCTACGGTAGTAGCTTATTCCCTATATGAGAAATTCCCTAAAAAAGGCAATATTTAATACAAGTCATTGAATAAAACGTATTAATAGAGAAATAAAAATGTTTGAACTAAAACTAATGTACAGTATTGAACTGTATGTTACAAACATTGTAGTGATGGTCAGATCCAGATATCGGACTACCGGATCCGCCGGATCCGAGCTAGAACCGGCACATGATCGGATCAAAAAAATTCCGCATCTTGAGCTGGATCCGGTTTTGATGGATCCGATTTGTATAGATATTTTACTAACACAAAGCTGTCTGTATCCATGTACAAGACCGATTTTTTTACCAACACAAAGCTGTCTGTATCCATATACACTCATCTGGACTAATGTGTCGGACGTCCGGTTCCAATCCGAACTATCGAGAGTCAAGCAAATACACAGTACTGTATATAGCCGTTTTTTCAATTTTGTTTCAGGTCCACAGTAATGATAACACCGCCGAATTTTATTCCAGGTCCACAGTAATGATAGCCGGGCATATGCACTTCCACCGGTAATAATTTTTACTGCTGAATTTTGTTCCAGGTCCACAGTAATGATAGCTTGGCATATGCACTTCCAACGGTAATAATTTTTACCACCGAATTTTATTCCAGTTCCACAGTAATGATAGCCGGGCATATGCACTTCCACCGGTAATAATTTTTACCGCCAAATTTTGTTATTTAGCATTGATCGTGTATATTAAATGATTAAATGATGGGGACCAGGCGAAATATATAAACTTTTGTCATTATTTGAATTTCAACATCAAAATACAATATTGCACAATCATGATATTTTAGGTCATTAACCTTTATTATGCATCCGGTATTGCTGTTTCAGAAAAGAAGCACGTTGGTAAATTATAAATTTATATTCCCGTAGTTAAAAATAATTATTTTATAAACCTATAAAACAAAATCATAAAATCTAACATAAAGCAATAACAATAACAGCAAATGTAAAAAGGGTATAAAGATAACAACGTCATTATCCTTTCTCTTTGTTCTTCTATTTCTTGGGTTTCCCTTCATCATGCATTCAACAAGTTGCCTAGTTGCCATGGTTACTAATCACCCATGTCGTTATCAGCCTTTGTGACATAGCGCACAGCAGGGAGTAAAACTTGACGAAAATTGTTTAATTTGTACCTATTTTATAATTACCAATGTACTTTATTGGTACTGTATTAATAAATTGGCCGTTTTTGTCAAATTTTACACCAAATTTATTGAAATTTCAAGGTGAATATCAATTACAAAACAATTATTACCAAATATTTTTATTCATTTAAAAGATTGATTTGTGGTATTGGGTTCCCCACTGAGTGCAGCCAAGCAGGACTAATGAGGGTTGAACCGCCTTGGGGGTGGACAATAGACGGCTTTTCAGACCCGACCTTCCCCAGTGGTCTGGAGAAAGCTTGTAAAAAACTATTGCACTTGACTTGACATTGGGCTGCTTCAACTTTAATTTTGTCAAAAGAACTGTGATGTTTCAAAATAAAAAACAATAATTTGGGACCATACTGCATAACAATAATGGACTGCAATAATTGTTGAACATACGATCCATTTTTAACAAACTAAGATTATACTATTCAAATACAGTTTTAAAAATTATCTTGGTATTTTACTTGGGGTAATTGGGGAGAATTGGTAGGCTAGTGTAATTCTCGGTTCATCAAGGTTCTACTGAATTATGTTTGGCAGTGAATAAGTGTAGAATGAAATTTATAAATTCAGGGATACGCACCTTTTACAGAGTTATAAAGCCTAATTGCCCTAATTAAATTGCCACAACATCAAATCTAGGGCCCAGCTTAGTGATGTTTTCTAACTTGGCAAACCCGCAGAATGCCACTTAAGGCCAATAATCCGTTCCAAAAACGTAAGGAAATACAATGTGAAAATAAACTTGAGATAGAACTCCTTGTCTTGTGAGAACCAGGAAACAACATAAAACATAACCTCAAGTAAACAAGCCCAAAGTCCTGCTGAGCTAAAGTGTTGTGTGAAGATTTCGGCTGCTAGTGTACTTAATTCAAGCAACCAACTTTTGAAAATAGATGTTGTGAATTGTGATTTTCAAGAGAGAAAAACTGTGGACGTGGCTAATTTGAAATTCTATAATTCAAAATCGTCATTTAAGTTTATTTACACAGCTTTACAGTGTTTTATAGGTTAAAAATATATATGCAGCTTATAATTAACCGCGCCGAACTATCCGATTCCGAAAATATCCGAATCCGAACCTCCCAATATCCGATCCTATCCGAACCGAGCCTCAACTATCCGATCTGAATCCGATCCAAAATGAAATTTTACTATCAATCAATCAATCAATCAAATATTCTTTATTCACAAAGTTTAGACAATATGACCTGAATAGCGTCATTAAACTAACATAAACAAAAAATTATAAACTAAATAATTAAAATCATTCACAAAGGTAAAAATTCTTTGATGGAATAAAATGGGTTTCTTATCAAAAAGTCTTTTAGGGTAGGCTTTTGAATCGGTTTGTATTATTTTCTTTTTTAAGTGAAATCGGTAATTTTTGAAGGAATTTTAAGCCTGCATATGAAGGTTTTTTGGTATAGAATTCTAAATTATGTCTAGGAAGGTTAATTTGAAAGCATGTGTTATATTTACTTGCAGTGGATAATAAATGAAATTGTTTTGCATAAATTATTGTCTCATAAATAATATACAAACTGTAAACTGTTAATATACCCAATTCAGGAAAGATATTTTTATCTGAATCTGTTCTTTTTAATTTCATGATCACTCTAATAGCTTTTTCTTGTTTTATAAGTATTTTATCCAAATTTGCCTTAGTTGTTGCTCCGTAAATGGCGATTCCATAGGATATGTGGGAATGAATTAGAGAATAATAGATTATCCTAAGAGTTTCCAAGTTGCAAACCTTGGACATCAGCCGCAAGGCATGAATGCCAGATGATAATTTATTTACTACATAGTTTATGTGATTATCCCAAGATAGATTTTCATCAATAACCAGTCCCAGAAACTTTGTTTGGTTTACCTGATCAATTTTGTCTGTTTTTATAAAAATACTAGCTGACCCGGCGAACTTCGTATCGCCTAAGTTATAGGTTTCCCCTAAGACAGACCGACCCGGCAGACGTTGTCTTGCCTTTGACTATTTATAATTTAAGTACCGTTACGTTTAATTTTCAAGATGATCTTGTTCGCATCGCTCAATCACGTCCTGGTTGAAGTTCGTTCGCTACGCTCACTCACCTTTGGGTTGGAGCTCGTTCGCTACCTTCACTCACCTTTAGGTTGGAGCTCGTTCGCTGCGCTCATTTGCCTTCAGGTTAGCTCGTTCGCTACGCTAACTGGCCTCCAGGTTGAAGTTCGTTCGCTACGCTCACTCACCATTTGGTTGCAAATTAGCTGTTGTCATAAATGTAAAAGAAATAATAGTGCTGCACCCTGTTGGTAATCCTTGTAACTTTAATGCTATTGAACATCATAGAACAGAACCAACTTGTTTAATTGAAACAGCTGTTAAGATTCATTAATTCCATTTCTCATAAGGTTAACATGGGAAACTCCAGAGCCACTGGGGCGGAGCCCTTTTAAGAATTTCGAAACGGGAAATAGTTTACGTCCGATTCGCATACCTACAGAATTTACACACCAAATTTCATATCGATCGGTGAAGTCGTTCCGGAGGAGTTTGCAGACAAACACTGTGACACGAGAATTTTATATATTAGATTAGGTTCAAATGCTGTTATTGATTGTTTAGTTGAAAAGGATATTAGATTTGATTTTGTTTTGCTGATAAGCAGATTTCTTTCATCCAAAAACTTTTTTATAGAGAGGAGACTCCTGTTTGAGGATTTTTCAATAATTAAATTGGATTTTCCTGAAAACAAAACATTAGAGTCATCAGCACACCTCTAATTGTCATTATATACGATTTAATATGTTTCCGATTTTTTCGCCAGTATTTTATTGTCATAACGCCTACATTGAGTTCCTTGGCAATTTTTTGGAGTGATTCGCCTTTATCCAGACTGTAGCACTGCTAATTTGTCATTTAATGAAAGGGTGGCGTGTTTACGTTTCACTCCTGACATTTTGAAACACGCACATAGTAAAACGGCCTAAAGATACTGTCGGAAAAATAACACACAGTACAGTACACAGTAAACACTACAAACTGAACAGTACACCACGAATACACTACAAAGTAAAGTAATATTTTGAAAATCTACAGAAACTATGAGAGATGACGAAGCACTGAATCAGATATGCGATAACGGCCAGTAGACAATAGCAAGTGGCGACGCGAGTGCTGCGACACGAAGTGAGCGTTTGGGAAAATATGTGAGTTTAAGACCGGTTAGATTAACTGAAGCGGCGGATGAGCCGAGGGTGGTCGAGAGGGGTTGTACTGTATTAATCCCCTACACACGTCAATTCTATGTCAATAAGCGGGATTTATCCCGTGTATACAAAAGATTATTCACATCATCACACAAACAATTTTAAGTAAAGCCAGGAATTTTAACTGACGGCATGATGGAAATTCAGCACTTTGGCTTGACACAGATTGACAGCAAGCTGAATAATAGTAATCTTTCTTATTGTCATTCAGTAACATAAAATTACAATAGACAACGTAAGGACAGAAATGTCAGAAATATGACATCATATGCTTAAATCTATCATCTCATGAAGCACACAAAACATTTTGTAGCATGAACTGAACATAATATTTAAATTTAAAACTCTAAGATGGAATGCTCTTGCGTAAATTATAAAAACTTAAGTAAATAATTCTTCAAAAGTAAACAAAAAAATTTGTTAATCTTCAAGGAATTTAGTAAAGAGAGTTTTAGTTATGCAGGCTGTTTCACTAGTAGCCAATAGTGTTAAGAATTCGGAGTAATTTGTGTTAAAAAATTTGTCTATAGAAAAAAGGCTTGGCTGATTAGCCATTTTGATCATGTTGATTTGAAAAGGTTTATGTTTTTCAATTTTTCTAAATGGAATGGTAGCTTATTGAAAAGAATCTAATTGGAAATATTTATGGATTTTTGTGAATTTTGATAGTCTAACTGGTGAGATGTGCAGATTGTTTGATTGTCTGGTTGTGTAGTTATGGATTGAGTAACATGTAGTAAAATTTTTAATGATTTGTTTATCATAAACTAAATCATAGTGTTTAGTTCGAAATCATCTGTCCTGCACTTATTCACCAATGTTTGATAAAAGTCATGCTTTTGATAAAATTGCTTTGCAGATTTCTTTTATAATGTCACCACAAGTGTGCGTGAGGAAGTGATTGTTGGATATTAGTGGCATTGACTATTGGATTCTATAGTAGACATTCCATCTATACAGACCATCTGTCCCAGTTTTTTATTAAAAGGAACATAATTATGTGAGCCAATCACAGAATGTGCTAACGTCTAAAATTCTATGTTCTACCTTATTGTTTGTTGCTGACCAAGTTGATGGGTCATAACAGTTGCTATAGCTCACAATGAGTAATTCCATTATTTTGAATTGGAAACAAAGTTTGTATATTCAACAAAAATCAGTTAACTTACTAGAGAACCCGTGCGGCTTAATGAGCCGCATAGTATGAAACATAACGCCTAGGAAAACCTTATGCTTAAATTCGAGTAACTTAAGTTACATCTTAGAGTTGCTTGAAAACTTGTTAGAAACTAATTTTAAATATCTCTATTGGCGTCGTCAAGGTTCACCTACATTATTTATTCTCTAAGTTTAAAGTAATTAAAGTTGGTTCATTTTATTTCTTTGATTTGAGACATCCCCCTGATCAAACGAATTTTCTCCGTAGAGTAACCTGAAAAGTGGGGTGATATCAACCATTTAATGTGCTCCATTTTTTAACCACAAAATCTGGGTTACCAACTGAACAGCCATAATCTGCTTTGAATAGGCTAAAGCAGCAACGCCATTGAAAGATGGCGCGTAATTTGACGTCTTGTCTGTCAGTCACAGGGTTTATTCCATTGTCTGTCGTCACAGTATATGCCCCGCATCAGAACATTCTCACATTGTTCAGTTCAGTTTCTCTTAATACCTTTCCCAAAGTTTTGAAAGTATGGATACATTTGTCGAAATAGGTTGGTTCTTGTAGCTATAATATTTGGATAGCAATTTTACTTTTCTCTTTTTGAACAGTGTAGGCTATATTATTTGCCTCTCCTGAATCATAAAAATAATCTTGACCGTAACTACTCGATCGTTTAATACATAAACACTAATTCCATCACTTATGTATGGTCAAATATTGCCACTAAAACTTTCAATAGCAAATGAGTTTATGAAACTTCTTATTTTTGACTTGAAATGTCTGGATTTTGTTGGTGAATTCAGTCAAAAAAAAAAACGTGGGCCTATAAAATTGTCCGAGGAACTGGCAACATAAGATAGTAGTAAACAATCCATTTTCTTTTTTTTATTTAATTGAAGTAGAGCGATTAATACAAAAGTTTACGATAAAAACATAAGGTCCGCCAAGATTTGGGTTAAACTTACTACTTGAACTTATCATAGTCAAGGCATTATTATAGTTTCTACTAAATGTTTTGAAATGTCCCGATCTGTTAGTGTCTGAAGTAAACATTTCTTGTATGCATTAATTTGATCTGACATTAGGCAAGTTTATTTTCCCACCATGACAACACTAAGTTGTATAGCAGTGGCAATTTGTATTCAGCTTACCAAGTGAATGTGTATCTGGATTGGTATCTGTTAGACCAGGCCTCTATTTTTCTACTCTCCTCAGTCCTCATACGCACCAGATATCTTATTATTAATTGTGTCCTCCTCCCGTGTTCAATATTTCTTCTTTGAACTTGAGGCATTTTCTGTTCTTCCAACAAAACTTACTTAACTGTTTAACTTTATCTTAACCTACTAAATATTACAAACATCAATATTTACTCCCAAAAAGCTAATGAGTTCCTTTTTATAAACAGCTGTTTTTTGTTTTTAAATTTGTTCTATGTATTTCTTATGGGGAAACCCCGACATTTGAGAGGGTCTCCCGCCCTTAAGAGCAAGAATTTTAAAATTCTAAAACCTTATTGCATAACTACATATTGAGACGAATCTTTTGACACCTCAAACGTTGAAATTGGTCCACAAATAAGGGAGGAGTTGCGTTAACAAAAAACGGCTTCACGTATTATATATATAGATTTACATCAGCGCAATCTGTCGGTGGCTCACTTCAACTATGACGATTTTAATTTAAAAAACGGACAACAACTTTAACATGGGGATGAAATGTCTAGTTGTATCAAGCAAGAGTCAAAGTTATTTCTCTGTAACAAGATAACGTTGGGTAAGTATTTTGTGTAAAGTAATTGCTGATGACATAAGAGTCTCCTCTTTCTTTATCAATGGAGGAACACGGGGCAACATTTGGAATGTAACCAAAGCTCATTCTGAAAGCTAACATCACAGTGATAGACGATCATTACAGTAAGGTGAGGCAGAGTAGTTGTAGCTTTCCCTTTGTTTGTGTAGAGAAAGATGAAAGCGAGGTGAAGGAGAAGGAAGTAAAGGAAAACCTGAACAAGGCAGACCAACAGATCTTGCAGGCCCAGACTGATGCTCAGAGGGCTCTGATAGCTCAGCAGCAACAGCACGGCCTGGCCTTGGCAGCAGCACAGCAGCACGCAGCTCAACAGGCTGCAGCTCAACACCAGGCATTGTCACTAGCAGCAGCTGCGCAGATAGCTCAAGCACAAGGAATATCACAGCAACAAGGTTATGAAACAACAGATTTGCTTGCTACTTTGAAAAAGATCTAATTTGTTGTAAAATATGCATTTTTAAAAGTAGTTGTAGCCAGTGTTGGGAAGTAGCGCGCAACAAGTAGCAACACTACAGTAGCGCGCTACTTTTTTGTAAAATTTTGTAGCTTTAGCTGTAGCTAGTTAAATTTTTAAGTAGTTGTAGCGGAATTTTAGTTACTTTTCTCGCTACATTAACATTGATTGAGATGGTGAGTTATATCACAAAAAAATTTTATGTTTTTAGGGAATTTATGTAAGGCTTAAATCCAAAACTATGTGTAAATGATTAAATTGTTGCTAGAGAAATGATATTTTTGAGACATGCAGTTGCAACTCATAGTGTTTCCTTATATGTTTCAGTTCCTCCAGGGTATGTGACTCCCCAGCAGTATGGTGTAGCAGCTCAGCAGGCAATGATGGGAGTCCCGCAGCAAGGCTATGTTTATCCCCAGTTTTCTCCTGCCCCGCAAGTGTATGTTATCACTTAAGTATAATTCTAACATGTTTAGAATGACGGTACCTTAATCTCTTAATAAATAAGACACATTTCAATAAGACACTGGGTGTTTTATGGTGTGAGATACTGCTTTTTTAGGTTAATTAATTTAAGAATTCTTTTTGTTTACAACATTTTATTTACTGTCTGTGGAGAGACCGAGGCTTTTTTCGGGTGCTTTACTATACCTGTAATGTTTTCAAGGAACTTTATCTTTTATAAATACCTTCCTCAAAGCTTTGAAAATTCAAAATATCACTGCCACAACAATGCTGCGGACTAACTGAAATGTGTGGAGGAGTTTACCTTTAAATGTGCTGCTGATTTTCCTCGTGAGGTGTAGCAACCCAAAAGTATTGTGCGAGATAAAATACTTAGAGAAAATTGAGAGATGTACGAATGCTAAAATTTCAGTCCGTGTCAGATGGTTAAGGCTCAGCTCGGATCGGATATTGAGAGGCTAGGATTCGTATAGTTTGACGTTCAAGTACTTAATAAAATACTGTTAAGGTTTGTAAGTTTAAAAATATGCAGCAAACCCATAATACCCCTGCTGCAGCAAACCTACAGACTAAGCAAATTTCCAATTGCCTAGTAGGATTTTTACAAAAATATTTTCATAAAATTATTGTCACATTTATTCCTTATTTAAATAACATTAAGTTTTATGAGTACCTACTCAGGTTTGCTGCTACAGTAAGGCAATAAAGTGATATAAAAATTCTGATCTTTCTAAATTTGATCAAAATATTTCCTTAAACAAGCAAATTACAACATTTTATTTATCCTTACAAACCCGTTCCCATAAATTAATTATTCTTTCTAAGAAAAACATGGGTATTTTATAACAAGCCAAATAACATACAAATTTTAAATTAGCAGTTTTTTTGTATTTTCTCTGTAATTGTTGGATGTAAATATGTTTCAGCTTACTAAATTATTAGTTTTTTTTAGCTATACATAAGAGCCCTATTACACTTGGTCACCTGACTGGTTGGTGGGCACTGGTTCTTACGTCGCCTATTACACTAGGATCACCGGTTGCGTCACCAGCCTTTGGTGACTGACCGGTGACTCTGCCCCGTGACCAGACGAGTAACCACTGGTGACCAAGATTTGTCGCTGGGTATTGAATCAAATGGTACATATTACACACAGTCACCGCTATCGCGTCACCACTGTATTTTTGTGTTCTGCAAGTTCAGATTGTTGAGTGAACGTAATGTCGGAATAATTTATTTTTGTAAAAAAATACAACCGACTTCAAACGCTCTAAAAAGAATGAAATAATTTAAATAAAGTAAACTTTTGTATTGGTCAAGCTCACGTATTTTAAGTCGGCGCGGCTCTATGATGATTTTTGATACAAAATTGAATGAGGATGTCCATATTACAGGTGACTATCTATAACTAAAGGTGTTAATCTGCATGTCTTTTTCATAGAGCGTTGGGTGTTATTTTATTACCGTAACCAAAGATCGGCATTATAGTGGTATTAACTTAACTTACTCCCAGGGCCATGCATATCTAAGACGATATTTGGCCGCACCAACAAAGCCTCTCCATCTTGCTCTATCCTCTGCATCCTCCTCAGTTGCTCCTAGTTGCCCCATGTCTTTCTTTACTTGGCTCCACCATTTTTGTTTTGGCCTTCCTCTAGGTCGTCTTCCTTCGGGATTTCTTAGTAAAACTAATTTTAACTTATTTTCTTGATCAGCATTGTACGTGTTATTAAATTTACGGAAAGTAAATAAAAGAAACGTCTTATAACACTTAAAACATATATTTACGCTTATACTGTTACTCACAAGACGGTAAATATACAAAAAAGATGGTAAGTGGTGATCGATTTCGATTGGACACTCCAATCATCATCAGACCCAATAGGCGAATAACAAGAATCTTGAATGGCGTCCCTACTTATAACCTTTTGGCTACCAGAAGCACCGGCCAATACATTTTTATAAGTACAACTGGAATCAAAATGTATTTGTTCATTAATCAACTTATTTCTATCTTTACATTTTTCCTTATAAATATACAATTCTTACCAAGCATTCATTACATATCCTTTCTTACAATTCTTTAAAATATCTAGACCATCCTCCATTTTTCCTAATGAGTGCCCATTTTGTAACAGGTGTTGTGCGACATTTGATCTTTCCGGTTTGTTGTTCCTCCACGCAGATATGTGGTTTTTTAAGCGGTTAACGAAGTTCACAGTCTGTCCAATGTAGAAGCTATCACAATCGTTACAATTGATTTTATAGATGCCCGAAGTGTCGAATTTGTTACAATCTTCTATTTTTGGATGCAGTATTTTGCTCATGGTGTTCTGAGTCCTGTAGGCTATTGAAACTCCGTATTTCTTGAATCTGTTAGCAGTCCTTTGTGTTGTAGTCCCCGTGTAGCTAATTGTGATATATCTGGTGTTTTCCTCTTTTATCTTTTCCAATGTTGTTCTGCTGTGTAGTGTATTCTGTCTATCGATTTTCCTCCTCGTCTTCCTTGCGATGTCCTCTATCGTTTTGGTTCGAAATCCATTCACTTGGGCGATCTTCTTATGGTGTCCAGTTCTTTTTTCCTATTGGCTTGGCTAAGTGGGATCTTATAGGCTCGGTACAGCATAGATCTAAAGGCTGCGGTCTTGTGGATTGTCGGATGGATAGACTTGTTGTTGACTGTAGTGTCCGTTTGCGTAGGTTTCCTGTAGATGTCAAACTCTATCTTGCTGTCTTTTCTCTCTAATGTGAGGTCCAGGAAGTTGATCTTTTTGTTTTCAGGAAAAATTTTTTTTGTTAGTAAGGAAAAATGTAAAGATAGAAATAAGTTGATTAATGAACAAATACATTTTGATTCCAGTTGTACTTATAAAAATGTATTGGCCGGTGCTTCCGGTAGCCAATAGGGTATAAGTAGGGACGCCATTCAAGATTCTTGTCATTCGCCTATTGGGTCTGATGATGATTGGAGTGTCCAATCGAAATGGATCACCACTTACCATCTTTTTTGTATACTTACCGTCTTGTGAGTAACAGTATAAGCGTAAATATATGTTTTAAGTGTTATAAGACGTTTCTTTTATTTACTTTCCGTAACTTATTTTCCTCCTCTCTTCGTAAAACATGTCCAGCCCATCTAACTCTTCTACACTTAAAGGTACTTACGTATTATACGGAGGCCACCCTTATACAACGCGCTGCGGCGGTTAGGTTTGGTCATCATGAAGCTTTTATGACTTGTCTGGTTCGATTCATAACGAAAGTAGGAAAGTCCTACAAACATATTTATAATAGACCAACCTAACCTAACCACCGCAGTGCGCTGTAAAATAAGTGGCCTCCGTATAATACGTAAGTACCCACTTAAATTCACACACCACATCTGGATCTCTGTAGAGTTCTCTCAGTTCTCTGTTGTGTCTCTTCCTCCATTCACCACCTTCATAAATTGGTCCATAGGTTTTTCTTAAAATCTTATTTTCGAATGTGATTAACTTCTTTTCTTCTTTTTTATTTGGTTTCCATGTTTCAGCTCCGTATAATAATACTGGGCTGATTATTGTCTTATAAATTCTAACTTTGGTGTTTTTTGACAGTAACTTAGAGGACATCAGTCTGTTGCAAGCGTAGAATCATCTGTTTGACAGATTAAACTATTTTGAATTTCTATTTCATCTTTGTTTTCCCTGGATAAGATAACCCCTAAGTACTTAAAATGTCCTACTTTTTCACATTTGTAGAGTGGAAATGAAAACCGGGCTAAGTGCCAAAAAATAAAAAAAATGAGTTAAGTGTCAAAATGTGTACTATCTGCCAAGCCCAATACGTTAAAAAGCGGGTTATCTGCAAAACAATAGCTCCAAGACGTTTAAACAGTGGCCACTAGAATGCGCATGGGTCAACTTCATCAGCTGAGGAAATGAAAACCGGGCTATGTGCCAAGCGTCTTTACAACCCATTTTGAGGCTATGCAATGTTCCGGCAGTTTTGGTAGAGGTGTTCACGTGAGTTTATACTTAAAATGGGTGATACAGAGTTAGTAGAAGTTAATCCTAAGAAGAGACGTCCTAAAAATACATTCAGTGCATTGGAGCCATGTAAAAAATAAAAGTTTTAAAGAAAATGTGCAGCTAGAGGCTCTGAAACACCTACCACAAGTCCTTGAATGCTGTAAACAAAATGAAAAAAAGAGAAGAAATATGAACTTAAGAATATGATACCATTTCTGAAGGAAGAATATGTAAACACTTTTACAGAGAGTTAACTGTTAAATTTTTATACCTAAAACCAACACATTTGTCGTTTACTCTTTCATGTTTTTTACGGGTTTAATGATGTTTTGATAATAAAACTTGATTTCAATATTATTTTGTTTAATTTATATTTTACCCGTCTGAAATGTTAAAATATTTAGAATCTTTTATGTTTACTAACTCTGCACATACCCCGTTTTATGGTTTTGAAGTATATGTACTTAGCTCGCTTTTCACCACTATGATTATGGACATACCCCTTGTCTCAAATTTGTAACTTTAAAAATTTATAAATTCTATTAGTGACTTTTAAAAAGAGTTGTTTCATAAAATTATGATTACTCATCTTTTGTTGTAGCTACTGTAAATAATCTGGTATAAAAAAATTAACAGTAATGGTTTTATTGATATTTTTTGCAATAACTCAAAAAGATGTTTTTGGCACTTAACCCGGTTTTCATTTCCACTCTACATTTATGGTCATCTACCTGCAGTGGGTCTTGGGCTATACCTTGATTTCTTGAAAATTGCATATATTTGGTTTTCCCATCATTTACTTTTAGTCCTAATTGTCCTGTTTTGTCCATAAATACTTTTGTTAGTTGGCGTAGGTCCTCTAAAGTTTCTGCAAAAATTACAACATCGTCTGCAAATACTAATAATATGTTAATTCTGGAGCCAATTGAAATTCCCTTATCTATTGTTGTCACTTCTTGTAGAG